ATTATTTATCCCACTTTTCTTTATATATTTTGGTCACCTCAAAATTCCTAATACCTAAATACTCCTGTCTCCTATTTTCTGCATAGCAACAACCGGGTGAAGTGTGTGTGTGTGTGTGTGTGTGTGTGTGTGTGTGAGAGAGAGAGAGAGAGAGAGAGAGAGAGAGAGAGAGAGAGAGAGACTGGCTCAAAGTCACCCAGCAGACTTTCATATCTAAGGGAGGCCTGGAACTCACATTTTATTTATTTATTTATTTTATTTATGAGACTTATATACCGCTTTAAGTGCAAGCACTCTCTAAGCGGTGTACACCAGTAAGCAATGTATATTTACATTGCCCCCAACAATCTGGGTCCTCATTTTACCTACCTCGGAAGGAAGGAAGGCTGAGTCAACCTTGAGCCGGTGAGATTTGAACCGCTGATCTGCTGAACACAGTCAGCTAAAGTGGCCTGCAGTACTGCACTCTAACTGCTGCGCCACCTCGGCTCCTGGTTCCTAGGTCAATTCCTTAACCACTGCATCAATTTGGCTCACTATTGTCTAATGGCCAAAGTTACTCTTTTTTTTTTCAGTCTTTTTTTTTCAGAAACACTAAGTTCTTATCTAAATGATTAGGCTGAGTAATTATGAACGTATATGGAAAATTTCATTTTTGTAACATTATGGGTTTTTTAAAAGAAGTTATTTGGGCTATGATTAAGTAATCAGTGCACTCAAGCAATGTGCTACACTTGAAAGCCCCACTGGATCAATCCACGCTATCCAGGCATGTGTTTCTGAGTGGTTAACTTACATTATTTAGGCCGGCATGATATTTAAATCAAATAACTGTCCCCAAACTTTGAAAAGCTCTAATACTAGGATGCTTTAGTGTCTTCCCAAAACAATTCTTCATGGCAGAGATAAAAAAAAAATTACAAATGAGCTAAATTATGTACTGAAGGACCCACTGAATCTACAGCCCATGTTTCATTGCCTTTAAAAAATGTTTTATAACTCCCCGTGTGGTGAAGTAACCAGAAAAATCTGACATTTTACATACAGCTTTTGCTGTTAGATCAATAAGATTATATGAAACAGAAATTACATTCTTAAAAATCAAATACCAAAAAGAACAGAAATAAAAGTAGATTTATTGTAACAATGTAACTAAAAGATTCTTCACACTTCTCCTGGATCTATTTGCACCTATTCAAGGGAAGTACACCTTACACATTGGGAAATCCTGCAGTAGACTATTAGAAAAGGAGAGACTCCTGAGAAATTCAGCCTTCTAAGGCTATCCTCATTTGCCATTGTTAATTATAGGAAATGGCTAACCATGACAGTGACAATAGAGTCCATCCTTTTTTGAGCAAAATAAATTAAGCTCTTTGGCTATACTTAAAATGGCCATATCTTCTTTATGCCAATGCATATATTATTCTGAATTTTATTACAAAATGTTTACTTTTAACCAAATAAATTCCAGAAGAGTAAGCAAATCACATGTTAACATTTGCCAAACTACTCATTCAAATACACACACACACACACACACACACACACACACACACACACAAGAATGTAGGTGAATACTAATTCAAAATGGACCAAATGGACCAATCGGACAAGGAATCAATCTGGAACCAGCTTTCTTGGACTCCTGTGACATGGAACAATCAGAGACTGTCACACCAGGTTTAAATGCAAGGGCCACTTCAGTTGTCTCTGAGCTGCTAAGAGCTACATCTGAAAGTAACTCATGCTGCCTCTGAAGATGCCAGCCACAGCTGCCGGTGAAAACTAGACCATGGCCATTTTGCCTGAAAGCTCATTCACTGCTCCATCAAAGTACTGCTTATGAAGAAAGATCCTTTTAAAAATATATAGGAGACACCTAGAATTCCTAGCCTGTTCATTTTGCTAAGGGCTTGAAATAGTACCAGAATATAATTAACAAATGTTAATAAGTCACTGAGGCAGATAAAAGGCCAGGAGTCCCACCTTGATTACATAAAATGATTCACAAATGCATAAACTTCCTCTGGGATTTAATTTCCTATCTAATTTTATTTCAGAAATAAATTTCTTACGATCCAGTTCTCATACTAAATAAACATATATAGGGGCAACACAATGCAGTCACAAAAAAAAAAAACACCTTTAGGACACAAAGGATATGTATATATCAATGATTTCCAAACTGGTGGCCTTGGCTTAATTACAAAACCTTTGAGATTTCTTAAGATTTCATATTTTGTCCTTGCTTTTTGGTATCACTATCACCTGTCTGTTTTGGATGACCCTGCACGGCATAGCTCATAGCTTAATTGAGTTACGCAAGCCCCTTCGCCACGACAAGGCAGTAATCCATGAAGGAGTCAATATCCTGTATGTGCATGCAAAAAAAATCCCTAAATATATTACACGTTCTTTTGCTATTTTAATACAAATCCTTCAGTCTAGCAAAGTTAAACAAAAATTTTATAATCTTGAAATCTTTCACCCATATGTATATCTGTGTATGTGTGTTTAAGGATGTATATTCACACAAGTATGATGTTATATATGAATCACATGCCTTATGGAATTTATTTATTTATTCAATTGAAATATCTGTTTACTCACTAAATTTTCACCAGTTTACTGAAGTCCCTGCCAAATTTGCTTAATTTTTGTCCCTCAGATTAAGATTTTTTGCCAGACAAAATTTACTTAGAAAAACAAAAATTGCTTTAACAGAAGAATCCATTCTCTTCCAACTATTATGATCTAAAAGATGCAAAGGAGTCTTAAAAGTTGAAAAGGAAACATAGAACAAGTAGAGGCAATAAAACCAAGAATCACTATTGGAATGTCTATAAATCAAATCCTAATTCTATCATGAAACACACCAGTTTATTGACAATGTATTTAATAGACTATGCATAAATATTTTTCATAGAAAATGTTTCCATAAAAATTTACTTTCTAGCTAAAGTAAATTTTCTTACCTCACTTTTAAAATTGTAGCCAAAGCCAGTACTTAAAATAAATCACTGGACTCCATGATGGATTTAGGTCAGTGGTGGCGAACCTATGGCATGCGTGCCAAAGGCCGCACTCAGAGCCCTCTCTGTGGGCACACGCGCCATGCCCTGGAGATGGCAACTGCTCCTCTTCAACCAGCCGCCTGCTAACTCACTAAGGTCCCACATGGCTGGATGCACCCCAGCACAGCTGGTTTCCCTCCCCCCTCCCATCCCTCCTGGCCTTGCATGCTCTCCTTTTCCCGGGCATGACCCACTGCATCACCTCCTCAGCTGTTGGCCGGCCATCCAGCTCAGAGTGGCTTCTTTGAACTGCTGGCGGTGGGCTGCGGAGCCCCAGAGTGTGCCAGTCAAGGGGCTGGCAGGTTGTGGTTGCTGGACACCATTGGCCCCCATGCACTCACTGGCATCTGTGTGTGGGGGCCAATGTGTCAGGCAGCAGCCGCCCCAGCCTTGCCCCATGGCAATGGCACCCCCACCCAGCCTTGTCTCACCCTGCAGAACAAGCCTACTGCCTACTGCCCCACCTGCCAGAGACCCCCTGGATCTCCCCTAACCCTGCCCACCCCTCACAGGTATCCCTCGCCATGAGCAACATTGAGGTGACCATGCCCACCTTGGCCACACCCACCCAATCTGCCATGACCACCACAGGCACACTCACTCATTGGACCACGCCCACCTGGGACCCAGCAATAAATAAGTGGGTTTTGGGTTGCAGTTTGGGCACTCGGTCTCTAAAAGGTTTGCCATCACTGATCTAGGTAGCTTATCATAATCATCACTGCTAAACCTGGACAAAGTTTTAAGGCATGAATCTAGGCAAGAATAATAAAAAGTGCAGCCTAGCAGATTTTAAAAAATATTTTATTTCTTTGTTTCTTTGATTGAGTTATATCCAATTTTGTGTTTAGATATAACTCTCTCTTCTTGATTTACGCAGAAAATTGGGATTATAAACTTCCTAAAGGTTTATGTTATTCATTTCATTTTTCAAAAACTCTATTCCATATGCAAATAAACTGTACATATCCTGGAGTGACCCTTGAGTCAACCTAAGTTATCCATGTCTTGACTAAGCCATATATTCATACCAAATGTCAGAAGTCCTATCTATACAGTCTATAATGCTTTTTAAATCATAGATTAAATAATCTCCTATAGCAATAATGTTGCTTCTATCTTTGCATTAGAATGTAGTATTTACCAGCATCATCCATCTCATAGTTTAAACATGGATACCTGTAGGAGTAATTGCATAAATGTGCTTATAGACTTGCTCCCATAAAGTCCTTCACATACCAAAACAGACAGCTCCAGCCACAGAACACATCCATCAGCCATTTGGACAGGCTCTGATAAGAACACGGGGAACAGGATGGATGAATCATCATCCACCTGCACAGCCTTACATTTGGAAAGTGTCTGCTATGTGATACATTGTAACCGCCCTAGTAAACGCCTTTTTATTACGCCGTGTGATGTAAAAACTATTGGTAACAATAAAAGAGGGTCTTGGAGTCAGCTCTGGGCTCTCATCCCGAGATACCTACGTGTGTGTCTCATTCTTCATGGGAGACCACCACAGATACCTTGCTTTCTATTTCATGCCTTCCATTCCCCAGCCTTTCTACGTTTCTCTAACCACCATGCACTTGAGGACAATGGGATTTGTAGCCTAACATATCTGGAAGGTATCTGGTTAGTGAAGGTTTCTCTATACCCAATGGATAAAATAAAAAATAGCCTTCAAATAGAGGACCTTTGAAATGCTAGTCTATTTTAAACAAGAGCCCTCATTTATATAGAAAAGCATTTTATCACACTTCAAAACCAACAGCAATATTTTGTATGAATTTAACCCTTATACTCATTCATTTCTTGGCTCTGTTCTAAGTGGGAGAAGTGAAATCTAAATACATTGCTTGTTTCTCATTTATCACACAGACTAATGACTTTTTTCAGCATGCTTGCATATTAAAATACCTGTTCCCATGAACATGAGAAGCACAAAAGGCAAAGCTGTAATGGAGCAAGGTTGGGTCAATGACAGCACCATTTTCTGAGTGTTCCATCAATTCATTCAGATAGCAGAGATGGCGGTGACAGCCTCTTACTCCATAACGAGCACAATATTCATCTAACACGAAGACTTGGCCGGGGCTAAACCAGCCCTGCAAAAGATGAGAAGAGAAAAAGTTCTTTAATGAATATAGGCTGTTCTTTTTTCCCCTTCAAACAAGTTCTCAGTATATTGTATAAAACCTTTTGAACTATTATACTTTTAATAAGCTCCATTTCATTTCTTTGGTCAATAAATTACAAGCCGCTAAATTCGAACAATCATTAGCTCGACAACTAAAAATGTCAGAAGTAGTTCATCCAAAACTATTCCACACTGTACACCAAAATGTCTAAAATGGTATCTCAGATACAACAAACTACAATTTCTTACGGAAAGGAGGTTATTAGGAGAGAGTATTATATGGAAAAAAAACTCTAAAGGAGTAATAACAAATATTAAATTTAGAAGATGTAAGTTCTGGAAGAGTGGAGGAAAAAGGATACACATAGAACAGAATAGAAATAGTTGCAATTAGTTATTCACTTTGCCTTGAGCAAAAGTCAGTTTTTCATACTTTTTGTTCTAAAGTTAAAAAAATGATCACTGGATGACATTCCAGGATATTCCACGATATCATCTAGAAGTCTGTGTTGACATCTAGACTCCATATCTTGCAATAGATATAGCTGAATCAACTGAAACATATTTCTTTTTATTGTAAATATTTATTAAGTTTTTAAAATTTTACAAAAACAAAACAACCCATCCCCAAACCTCCCCAACCCTCCCATTCCCTCCCCCAACCTTCCCAGAGCTGAACATAGGCTTAATTAAAATTTCTTCAAATAATCTAAAAAATATATAAACCATGAATAAATCTAAATACTAAATACATTAATTAAACAAACTATAAGATAATTAACAATAATATATGTATATAAAAAAAACATAAATACCAGAAAAATAATACTTGAGAAAAAAAAGACTAAAGAAAAAGAGAAAGATAAAAAAATATATATATATAAAAAAAAGAAAAAGAATAAAATCTATAAAATATTTTAAATTTTAAATATAAGTTATTGAAAAACTAAATAGTATTTTTTAATATCCAACTTATATTGTATAAAATCTATCCATTTTTTCCATACGGCAAAATACTTCTCCTGCGATTGATCCTTCAAGAAAGCCGAAATCTTTGCCATTTCTGCCAGATAAGAAACTTTAAAACACCACTCTTGCAAAGTAGGAAAAGATTCCTTCTTCCAACATTGCCCTACTAACAGCCTTGTGGCTGTAATTAAATTCAACATCAATGTAATCTTTTTAGTATCACAATCAGTAACAATACCTAATAAAAACAACTGTGGGGTAAATTTTACCCTCCTTCTAAAAATTCTTTGAATATTCCACCATATCTTAATCCAAAAGGCTTTTATATTTTTACACGACCACCAAATATGATAATAAGTAGCATCCAAACAACCACATCTCCAACATTTAGGCTGTAGGTCAGGATACATACGAGACATTTTTTGTGGATCAAGGTGCCATCTGTAAAACATTTTATAAAAATTCTCCCTTAAATTCTGGGCTTGTGTAAATTTGACATTCCTCACCCAAATAATTTCCCAGGTATCTAGTAAAACTGGTTCACCAAAATTTTGTGCCCATTTGATCATACAATCTTTAATTAATTCTGCCTCTGAATCCAATTCTACTAGCACCCCATAAATTCTCTTAATATGAGTTCGTCTTTGGTCTTTTACTTGTTTAAAAAAAATTTCATCTTTTCTAAGTAAACCCACATTACAATCCAGCTTCCATCTATCCACTATTTGTCTATACTGAAACCATGAATATTTAATATTTTCTTGTACTAGATTTTCCAAAGATTTTAACTGCCAATTTTTACCATCCCATCTAAGTAGTTGTGAATAAGAAACACCATCCATCTTAACTCCTCTCCTTATCCCCTCTATCGCATGCCCAGGTATAGCCCATAATGGAATTTTAAAATCACTTCTATAATATTTCCTCCAAACCCGAAATAAAGAAATCCTTATAATATGAGATTGAAAAACCCTATCAAGTTTTTTATTAAAAATTAAATAGGCATGCCATCCAAAAAGTAAATCCCAGCCCTCCAAGAGGAGTATTTCTACATTTGTTAAATTAACCCAATCACTAATTAATGTTAAAACCACCGCATCATAATACAGTTTCAAATTCGGTACCTTGAGTTCACCTCTCTCACGAATGTCTTGTATTATTTTAAGCTTTACTCTTGGTTTTTTCCCCGCCCAAATAAATTTATTGATACCTTTCTGCCATTCATTTAAATTAAACTCATTCTTTAAGATAGGTATCATTTGAAATAAAAAAGGAACTTTGGCAGAACATTCATTTTAATCACCGCAATTCTTCCCAAAAGAGATAATTGCAATTTCTCCCAGTTTTTCAAATCTCTTTGTATCCTGACCCATAACCTTTCATAATTATTTTTGTACAATTTTACATTAGAAACAGATAGAATAACCCCCAAATATTTTACCTTATCAACAACCTCAAAATCTGTCAACTTAACCAAAGTCTGCTTATCCAAATTGGTCATATTTTTGGGTAATATTTTAGTCTTGTTATTATTAATTTTAAAACCCGAAACCCGTCCATATTGGTGTATCAATTGTAATAACTCTACTACGGAATAAGTAGGTTGGGACAGGGTAACTACCAAGTCATCTGCAAAAGCTCTTAATTTATATTCTTTTTTATTAACTTCTATTCCTTTTATTTCCTGTGATTCTCGAATTTTAATCAACAATATTTCCAAAGTTAAAACAAACAGCAATGGTGACAATGGACATCCCTGTCTAGTCCCCTTTTCTATTGTAAAAACCTCTGATAAGCCCCCATTAACAATAAGTTGTGCCGTTTGTTTTTGATAAATAACACCCAAAGCTTGTAGAATCTTTTCTCCAAAATTCATTTTCTCAATTAATCTTTTTTTTTAATTGAAAATTTTTAAAAGTTTTTACAAATAACAACAAAAAAACAACAAACAAGAAAAACAAAACAAAACAACCCTCACCCAACCCCTCCCAAACCACCCCCTCCATCCCCCCCGAGCTTCCCAGAGCTGAATATAGGCTTAATAAAAATTTTAAGAAACCTAAACAAATTTTTACAACTTATAAAATAGTTAATAATAAAATATATATGACATAAACGTTAAGAAAAAAAAATACTTAAAAAGAGGAAAAAAGAAAGAGAAAAAGAAATAGGAAAAAGAAAAAAAAGAGAAAACAATCTATAAAATATCAAAAATTATATACAAGTTACAAAAAGGCTAAATAATATTTTTTTATATCCAATTTATGTTGTATAAAATTTATCCATTTTTCCCATACAGCAAGAAATTTCTCTTGTCATTGCCCCTTTAAAAAAGCCGAAATCTTTGCCATTTCTGCCAGATAAGAAACTTTAAAAAACCACTCTTGCAAGGTAGGCAAAGATTCCTTCTTCCAATATTGCCCTACTATCAGCCTTGCGGCTGTAATCAAATTTAACATTAATATAACCTCCTTAGCATCACAATCAGTAACAATACCTAACAAAAATAATTGCGGAGTAAATTTTACCCTCCTTCTAAAAATTCTTTGAATATTCCACCATATCTTAATCCGAAAAGCTTTTATATTTTTACACGACCACCAGATATGATAATAAGTGGCGTCCAAACAGCCACATCTCCAACACTTAGGCTGTAAGTCAGGGTACATAAAAGACATTTTTTGTGGATCAAGGTGCCATCTATAAAACATCTTATAAAAATTCTCCCTTAAGTTCTGGGTTTGTGTAAATTTAACATTTCTCACCCAGATAATTAATCTTAACATAAATTGCCAATTCAATTGGTCAAAAGCTTTTTCAGCATCTAAAAATATCAATCCTGCAGAAACCTGATTATTTTTGTCTAGATATTCTAATAAATTAATAATCTGTCTGACATTATTCTTCATGTACCTTCCAGTTATAAAACCCGTTTGATCCTTGTGTATAACCTGATGCAAAACCCTCATAAGCCTATTAGCCAAGATTTTTGCAAAAATCTTATAATCTACATTTAAAAGAGATATAGGTCTATAATTCTTTGATAAGGTAAGATCTTGATCTTCTTTTGGGATTAAAGATATAAAAGCTCTACCCCATGACGGGGGAATCTCTGAACCCTGTAGTATATTATTAAAAAGCTCTCTTAAAGGTTGAATCATCTCTTGTACCAAAGTTTTATAATAAATAGACGTCAGACCATCCGTGCCCGGTGCTTTGCCTAATTTTAATTCTTTAATCACTATCTCAATTTCCTCACTAGTAACTAAACCATTAATTTCTTGTTTCTGATCTTCTGTTAATTTAGGAAAATTGGCTTCATTTAAATAATTATCTATATCTAAAGCCTGCACTTTAGCACTCTTATATAATTTTTGATAATAATTTAAAAAAGATTTCTTAATCAAGTCCTTATGATATACAAATTTACCATTATAATTTATTTTATCTATAATTCTCTGTCTCTGTTTCTTTCTTAACTGATAAGCCAACCATCTCCCTGGTTTATTAGCATTGCAAAATGTATTTTGTTTCATATACAGTAAGTTAGTTGCAGTTTGATCAGCCATCAACATATTAAATTGTGTTTTAAGCAATTTTATAGATTCTTTAACCTTTTCATCTGTGGGATTTGAGATCAAAATTTTTTCTTTTAATTTAATCTCATCTTCCAATTCCTTACGTTTCTGAATCTGCTTTTGTCTATGAACATTATTCATTTGTATCAAAATCCCATGCATGAAAGCTTTACCTGCATCCCATACCATTGACATTGAAGTTCCCTTATGCATATTTAAAGCAAAATAATCCTTTAAGTGCTCCTTTAATTTTTGAACATTCTTTTCTTGTCTAAATAAATTTTCATTCATCCTCCACGATTTCTTCTCCTCTCTTTCATCAACCAACTCCATCCAAACTGGACTATGATCCGTCAATGTCCTAGGAAAAATTTTAACATTCTTTACCCTAAAATATAAATCAGTTGTAATAAAAAAAAAT